TTCTGGATCTGATGGTTCCTGGATCTGATGGTTCTGGATCTGATGGTTCCTGGATCTGATGGTTCTGGATCTGATGGTTCTGGATCTGATGGTTCCTGGATCTGATGGTTCCTGGATCTGATGGTTCTGGATCTGATGGTTCTGGATCTGATGGTTCCTGGATGGGCAGATTTTGATGATGAGGAGAGAAATGTTCATCAGCTCTTCCTGTTTGTGTTGTTGTGCCAGCAGGGGGCGCCACCTGTCAGCTGTAGACACAAACACTTGTGGTTCTGTTAAACAGAACCTCAGGTTAATTCACTGCATTTATTAAACATAAAGTTTCTTTTCTTTTTATCAATTATTAATATTGGGTGATTTGAGATTTTCTCCCAGCTGTAAACAGCTGGTTCTGATCCAGTTGGGTCGGGTCAGGTCAGTACAAGGACCAGCTGAGTTCACATTAGAACCTCAGATGATTGACAGCTGATCAATAATTGGATCTTAGCAGAGTCTGGTGGATCTGATGGAAGAACTGGAGAAGTTCTGGTCTCTAAGTGCTGCTAATGGACCTTTAATGTTCTCCCGGGCCGGTCCATTATCCCTGCGCCTTCCATCATGCATCTGTGTGTCTGAAGGGCGTGTCCTACTGGAGCAAACGCTTCTGATGGCGTTTGGATGTTTGGGTCGTGGTCGTCATGCTGAATGCTGTTCCTGCAGCTCGGACACTAACGGGTCGCCGCTCTGTTTCAGTGGAGAAAAACAAACCCAGAGAGGCGCCGTCCAGAACCAGCAGGCCCAGCAGGCCCGGCAGGCCCGGCAGCACCGGCTCCGGCTCCCAGAGCGCAGCAGGAAACCAGCAGAACCAGCAGCTTCAGCCAGCTGAACCGGTACGTCCTGTTCCTCAGAACCCAGCAGAACCTCAGGGCTTTTCAGGAACAGATAAAATGTGTGTGGTTCTGTTTGGGTCCATCCTGACTGAGAACTGTTCTGTCAGATTCAAATGTTCTGTTCTGTTCTTCTCAGGTACCAGAGGTTCTGACACCAGCTCTCCCAGTCCCAGCACCCAATGCTGCCAGCACCACATCTGGACCTGCAGGACTGGCCGGTTCTGGCTTCAAAGCCAGAACTGGGTCACGGTCCAGCCCTAGAACTGGGCCCTGGCCCCAGAATGCTGCCCGGGCTGGGGCGGGCCAGACTGAGGCGTCAGAGGGGGCGGCGGCAGCCAAACAGAACCAGAACCAGAACAAAGAGCAGGTGGAGAAGAAGAACCTGGCCTTGGTCCAGCTGAGGAGGCTGCTGGTCCAGGGGAACCAGAAGGTGGAGGCTCTGGCTACAGTGGTCCAGCATCTCTTCACTGAGGTACTGCTCACCGGTTCTGTCCGGTTCTGTCCGGTTCTGTCCGTCCAGCAGAAACAGATCCTCCAGAATTAAAAAAAATTTGTTTCCTTAGAAAAGTTTGTTTGATGTAAAAACAGTTTGAGACGTTCCAACAGTCTGACCAGGTCCAGGTTCTGTTCAGGTTTACAGCAGGTTGTTTACAGCAAGTTGTTTACAGCAGGTTGTTTACAGTTGTTTGTTTGCAGCAGGTTGTTTACAGCAGGTTGTTTACAGTTGTTTGTTTACAGCAGGTTGTTTACAGTTTGTTTACAGCAGGTTGTTTACAGTTGTTTGTTTACAGCAGGTTGTTTACAGTTTGTTTACAGCAGGTTGTTTACAGTTGTTTGTTTACAGCAGGTTGTTTACAGTTGTTTGTTTACAGCAGGTTGTTTACAGTTTGTTTACAGCAGGTTGTTTACAGTTGTTTGTTTACAGCAGGTAAAGGAGAGGAACTATCGGTTCTGTCTAGTTCAGGGCTTCTTAACCTTTCTGACCTCGGGGCTCAACTTGTTGGACATAAAGTGACACCAGGTCCAGTCACACATTACTAATGTATGGATCAAAATGATAATTATTCTATCATATTGGTTTAATTTTTTATTGTATTTACATCATAACTAAATACATTTTAAAAGTCCTGTCAAATAATCACAAGACATGATTATAACAAACATTTTTATATTGTAACCTGCCCATAACAATTATTT